CTTTGACAAAACTTTTTCATGTTTTATTTTGTATGGAAAAAGTAAATGCCTTCAAAAATTGTTCTACAGAGGGAGCTTGGATTAGGAGCTTGACTTCACTGCTGCACACGTGTATCAGTGCCAGCACAAAGGCTGCGGTCCAGAATATGAGAGTGGGCGTCCAGGCAAACAGTTCTTACCGAGGAGAGACCCGACATTGGTTTTTACATTGAAATGCATGGACGCTAATCAGAGAGTTCACAGTATAAATAGTATGCATAAACCCTGTGCCTTTGAAAATCTATTAACCATAATCATGAGTCTACATGTTCTTGATATACAGAACTGTGAATCATTTTATAGAGGATTAGATTCCTTCTAGTTTATATCAAACAAGAGATTGTGAAACCTTTTTAGGATTAGAGAGTAGAAGCTCTCAACTAATAAAACCGGTATTTTGAATTAGATTTCGGGAAAAGTGTAATTGAATTAGGGATTCATTTATAAAATATTAGAGCTAAGTATCATCACAGCTGTAGGTGACTGCAAGAAAAATGTGAACATTTACAGGCATTCCTAGTAACTGCATAGGTTGTTGGAAGTCTCCCTACTGTTTCAAAATACCCCTTTCTTTAAATCAGATGTTCCCTGTAGTAAAGACCTTTGAAAGTTTTGGTAGCACATGTTGTAGTAAAGACTTGCACTTTCTTACTTGAATTTTCCAAACCCTGTCCATTTACTTATGACCCAACATAGCTCCCAGTCAGTTTTAGGCTGCTATTTCCATTTCACTTCAGGGCTTCAAGCACTTTGAGCTTGGCTCAGCAAAGCACCAAAGTATACACATAACTTAAAAAGATATGTCACCCTTTTTATGAGGCTAGTCGTTACTAGATTTAGCTATATTTTCTTGTATAATTATAGCAAATTTCAGCTACAATCAGTAACATTTTTCCCATCACTAACAGCATAACAAGATTAGATTATTATACATGCATATTATTTACGTGTGCATTACGTGTGAACACACAGCAAATGCGTTCAGTTACAGTGTTCACACACATGTCTGTAAGTTAATGCATACAACTACGCACACACACAATAATCTAAAGATCGCGGACGGCTTCACTGTCTACTGCCATGTCTAAAGCACTTGTTTTGATTAAAACTTAGATTGAAGGCTATCAGCCACCCAAAACAATACATCCTTGAGCTGCATCTCATTAAATCATTCTGATTGCTACTACTTAATAAATACACCCTTCCTCGAGGTATACTTTATTTTGTACTTACATTTATTATCTAACGGTTATTTCAATGTACCTTTGGGATAGTCAATCAAAATACCCAAGCAACATCCTTTCCCCATATTTTCAAGTAATCAGAATACTTACACTTATTCTTTTTTCCTTCTGCACGCAGGCTTATTTTGCTTTACTTTCGATGAGACTGAGCGGGGATTACATTTTCCTTATTTTTACCTATTACCTTCTGGAAACGAACTTTATTTTAGCTCTGATATGTCAAAGAATGGAAGCATTATGTAAAATTTAATGAAAACTGCCATCCTATGGGATTTAAGCATATGCTTTAAAGCTTTGCTGAAATTCGGAATTTCAGCAGGGAGACATCTAGAAGTTTTGGTAGTTTTCTCAAGCATTGCCAGTGAACAGATAAAACTCATGTTATTTGCTGAGTATCAGCTGAAAAGTAGATAGATACATACCAATAATCCAGTCCTAACCTGAATGATAACATTAAAAACCAGTCACCAGTTTAACTGTGCTGTTATTCTTAGATTTATAACTATGTAACAGCTAAATTGTCAGCATATTTTCTTTCACAGTTGCAATACGAAAACTACCAAATCTGATTATTTTTTTTTAAGTTCTAGTTATGGGAGAATCCTATCAGCTGTAAAATCACCACGTTTATAAAGACAGTCACCCAAAGATAGACTTAACATCAAACAGGCCTCGATATGAGACAAAACACAGGAATATCTGTATGCTAGTTCTCTTTAATAGCAAATTATTTTTAAAAATAAAACTGAAACAAGAAAACAAGTCTTAAAAAAAACTCAGAACTGCTGCATATAAGCTTAATAAAATAACATTATATAAGCTTAACAAAATAATGTATTTCTCATGTAAAACTGAGTTAAGGCATCACGCACCGCAAATCCAGACAGAAAAACTATTAGCAAGACTACCTGTATGCTGCTTGTTTAATTTCTACTTTAACATCAGAATTATCTGTTATGCATAAACTAATTTCTCTATATAAAAGAACCTGATAAAAAATTCATGTTGTCAGTGTTGTAAGGTGAATGATAAAATGGTTATATCTCTATTTCCAAAAAGTCTGATTTGCTATTCTGAAGAAATATATCCTGTCTTTCTTAGAAAAAAACAGAGGGCAAAACATTTTAAAGGCTGAATAACACTCATAGGGATTTCATGTTCCCATGAAAGAAACTGATCGTATTATATTTCCCTAGAATTTAGTTTAAGCTTTTAAATTACTCTTATTGATATGTGTAAGTCTTTTAAGCATGAAAGACACTGAACATTTGGGGAAAAGGGAAGAAATGACAGAAACTGTTGGCGGACAGAAGCTATAAATAGAAACGAAAGGGAGAAAAGTATCATCATACAAATCCCTCAGTTTCTTCTAAATGTTGTTTCTAGGTTCAACATTTTGAGGCAATCGTTCTCCAAATTAAGTATATCCATCAGATATTTTTGGGTGTCGATTTAACTTCAAACTTTTGAGGATGAAGAACATCTCAGAGGTTATTCAAGTCTTAATCTGCAATAAGATGACAGCAAGTAGAGTCCTGTGTTTGGTACACCATTAACTTCTAGCAAAGAGCGCATTCATAGTAATGTCAATACAAGATTACTGTCATTTGTCTTGATTCAGCAACATATTTAAGCCTATGCTTACTGGTAAGCATATGAGCTATTCAGCTCTAAGTGAGCAAAGACGCAGCATTAGCAATTTTCCTTGGTCAGCTTTCCACAGAAGGTTCAGTGCGTAAATTCCCCTAAGCTCCCCAAGGAGGTGGAGCTGCCTTCTCTGGCTGGTTAAGTATTGTTTGAGGGCTTTTAATGCTACTGCATATATTACTCCAGTGCAGGATTATCTATAAACGTACCTAGAGTATTCCTGCATGTCATTTTTCCTCACTAGCATGCACAGTTATTTTATTCATTCTGTTTGAGGGTGGGGGAAGGGTTGGGTTTTTTTTTACTCCTGCTTAACTTTAAATGTCTTCTTAAATCCCAGTAAATCAAAGATATTTGAGCATAGACTTAATTGCTGTATCAAATAAAAGAAGCATACATACTTGCTTAAGAGCTTGGCTAAATTAGGAGCTTATTTTGAACTGATCACAAATGTAATATTCCCTCAGATCTTTGTCAGTCAGTTCAACGAAGGACACACAAATCATAGACAATTCAGAGATGCCACAGGGCAAACTCTTCTAACCCTTTCCCTATGGTTTTTAACATTATGGTTTTTATACTTACATTGCCAATACTCAGAAACATGCTGAAGGATCTCTACGTATTTCTACTCCATTGGAAAAATATATTTAATAGTTAGTAGAAAAAGTGAAGATGTTTTTATGAGTTTCAGTCATGACAAGTGGTTCTTCACATTCCTCAAACAGTGCTTCAAGTTCAATTTGTGCATAAATGTAATTTTTGTCTTAATGGCATGAAATCAACAAAAATGACATTTAGTTTCTCATAGTAATAATTTACCAGCATTAACTATAAGGATACCCACTATTTCTTTTGTATAATTAATGAAATTATGCTCAGGGCTGTATTTCTATGAACTACAAATTATTCCCATTACCAACAGAGAAACCATAAGAGCAATGGAATTGGTGTCGTTAAGAGAACTAATACTGTGGATCAATGCCTTATTTACTAATGCAAATTAAGCTGCAGCCTATCAGGAGCCAGCTTGCTCAAAGAGATGATGATACACTTCCAACCATTAAGGCTATGTGAAGGATTCATAAATGCAGCAATTGTTGCCGACTTTTACAGAAAACTGGTGGGCTCATCCTAACATGTTTCATATTAAAATGGCTCCATTGACAGCAATGGTTTCATGGCAATTTCAGTCTGAATCCAGGCCTATTCATTTTTTTTTGTTAATAAATTAAATTTCACATAGACTGAATTACAAATCCATCCAAACTCAACTTTTGAAACTAACCTGCTACATACTCTTCCTTTACTTTTTTTTACTATGATAACAATTCACTGTTTAGTGAATCGGTGCAGGGCAATCAACAAAACTTTCTGTAAATGGGAACAAGCTGCAGTATTGGAGGCTGTCTACATACACTCATAGTGCTAAATAAGTGCTATTTATGAATGTAAAAACTAATGAATCTAACTAATATATTGAAAATCCACTACTTAGTAACATTAGGACTGACATCTCATTATAGTAGACCATTTTTTGTGGGCATAAGTCCATTAAGTGAGGAACATATTCTGATTATACCTTAATATTATGCCTGGAAATCATATATATTATGTGGCATTTTAAAGGAAAAACTACATATGCCCTCATTAAAAGTAAAAAATTGTTTCTCTTTTCTGAACAAATCAGCAAAGATGTTTTGACTTTGAATTTGGGTAGGTTTTTTTTCCTTTTTCAGGAACAGTGTCATTTTTGTGGTTATTCTATTACTGCTAACCATCTTATACCACAGAATAGTTCATTTATTTCTAATACTAGTATACAGTACTCTTGTATTTCCCCCCTCAAATTCTATCGGAAAATCTCACCTTGTAAAAATAATTCAGTGTTCTTCTAGTAGCTATCAATGTTTGTTTTCTATATCAGTCCATATGGCATTACCACCTCAAGACTCAATATGTGAGTACTCAACCTATCTTCCCATTGTAAGTTATCAATCACAAAAAATAACATGCTTTATATTTAAAGTACTATAATCTTTCATTTTCTGCTGATCACATTTTTTCTATCTATGCAACTGCAGCATAGTCATTGCTCTGGTCATTTTTTTCACTTTCCTGTGGGCTGGTGATTGTCACCCTTGGATTTGTGGATGTTTTTTCAAGATGGGAATCAACCTAGAGAAAAAGGACAGGTACTGTTAACTTCATTGAGTAACAAAGATTTCACGTCATTTCCATAAAGTGTTAGCACTTCATCCTAAAATTTCCACAAGGTATTCTTAATGTGAAAAAATGTTTTCTGAGAGTGATCACATCAACGTTTTTATTTACCTTATACTTATATACCTTCCAAAGGAGAAAGTACTTAAATTAGAGGTTCCCCCCCAGTTCTTTCATCAAACATCCAGTTACCCACATATCTATTTAAAGTGAATGCTCACTCACTTTCTCCACTTCCATAAATAACTTCAGCTTTTCTAAAAACAAACAAACAAAAAAATCAATATATCAAGCACAGAATAAATTCAGGGCCCAAGAAAATGTCACGTTACTCCACTCTCTTGGAAAAATGTTCTTGTGTGGCATACAGAAACAGAAGAAAGCCCAGTTGCAAGGTGCAAGAAACCATTCCCAGCATCACAAGAAGCAGAAGAAGAGTCTGGTTTTCAGCAGCCTATAAGCAGGCAATATGCATCAAGTTGTTCTGCTTCCAATGCTCAAAAAATCCCACTCTTCCCAGATCTTGTTTTGAGGATCTTGTTCATCTCCACTGTCTTTTCCAATTTCTGAGAAAGGAGATGAAACTTCCACAAAGCAATGGCAAGAGCCCTTTATGAAATGCAACTTCTCTGAAAGTCAATTCATCAAAATAATGAGGCACTGTGGTTTCATGAACACACCCTTCTGCTCTGTCCTAAAGGACAATGTAGTATGGAAATATATAATGATTATGCTTTTCTGGAAATTGCTAGAATTTTTTTTATTACTTTTTTTTCAAAATTCAGCATACTCAGGAAAGCAGGAGATGCAGATTCATCAAATAGCAAGAAACATCTGCTTTCTCAGTTGGAGGGCATATAATGTAATTAACGATGTAACTGATCTATACAGACGGAAAACAGCTTTTCCCACAAACTGAAGTTCTCGTAAATGCTCTCAGGACCTTATCACGAGTGAGCTACTTAGAGACTAGCTGAGAAGTCTATCTGAGAAGGCTGAGATGAATGAGGAACAATAAAACTTGAGAACAAGTGAAAGAATAAACACTCACCTGGTTCTGACTGTCAGATTTCTTTTCTTTTATTTCTTCTTCAGGCTGAAGTTCACCTTGGTAGTTCAAGTGCTCTATTCCCTCACCATTTTCTTCATTTTTCTTGCCATTTAAATGCATAAGTTTCTCTTCCTCTGCTTGGTCAACATTCTCTGTTTCTTCTGCTTCATCTTCATAATTCTCATTTAATTTCTTCTTGTTTTCTTCCACTTCACTCCTTTCTTTAACAGTTTCCCCACTTTCCTCTCCATTCAGTGCTGGATATTCTTCCTCTCCTTTATATGCCTCCTCTCCCCTGTCATTTTCCTCTTCTGCATTTTCTTCTTCATCTACAGTTTCTGCTGGCCTCTGGTGAAAGGAAAAGCAGCAGCGTTATGAGGCATTTTTAATCAGAATGCTCCACGCAATTCTGAAACGTGACAGACATCAAAATCACAATTACATCATTACTGGGGAGTAAGTGTGCTGATTTGAGGTTTGTCTACATGGACAGAAAATGACGCTCCTGTACTAACACCCCATAACGCACTCTTATTCTACATTAAAAAGTGTGTTAGTGAGATTTAAATGTATTGCACTGGGTTAATCCATTTGACCATACTCAAAACAAGTGGAATGAGCTAGATTTAATTAACACAGCAACAGCTATTTTGTTCCAGCTATTCCAGGGTCTCCGACATTCAAGCATTTAGTATGCACTTGTTTATAAAATCCTGTCACAATAAAATATCATACATCACTAGCCCACAAACTGTTCCCCAGGAAGCATTTTACCTATGGACCAAGCCATGCCATGCCAATTGGCTCTGTTGTGCAGCCTGTCATCTTTGCATCCACAGAAAAGTATCAAGGGAGATGAGGTAGACCTACTGGTCACTTCCACAACATCATTCCCCTTCCCAAAGACCCCTATGTAGGGTGGCATGGTTAGGATTTATTTGACATTTAGCAATTCATTTTTCCTACACAGAGTCGGACCAGCAGACAGGAGGAACAGGATCTTGTCCCATATTGAAGAACAGTAAGCAGAAACTCACTGTAGATAAAGCTGCTAGCAGCATCACTTCATGACAACCTGGAAGACTGATGCACATACTATCTAGTTTTTGTCATTTATCTTCCAGTTTCAGCTTTGAAGATTCACCTGACTATTCAGTGAACCAATGCCCCTGCTGCCAAGATGACTTATGCACTCATGCTAAAGTTTGAATGAAAATAAAGAGAAAAAGCAAATCCCACAGGAGTAACAGGGTGTCTACCTCCCACACAGCCTCATCAGACTCTAAATCTAAAGCAAACAAGCTGAGAGCAATAGATTCTCTCTTAATCAAAAGTGTTTGGAATTTTACTATCATTAGCAGCTCTTTTAAGCAGGCAGCTATCTGCTACAGACCTGTAAGTTGTCTTCTAAAAAATCTCTT